TCTTCCTTCTGGCTAGAATATAGTGTTTTATAGGCCAGAACAGCTGGTAAGACTGGGGATAGGAAAGAATTAGTATCAAGACCAGAGTGGTCAGTGTGCAGAGAAAGGGACTGTGATGTAAAAGATGAGTCCATCTTTGAGAGGAAGTTGATGTTTTCTAATGTTTCTGATAACTAGTGAAGAGTGACTAAGGAACTGAGAAAGGTCCTGTTTTCCTTAAGAAGGGTCAGGAAGGAAACTGGTTTGTAAACAAAGGAACAAATACAGGTGTCATGAGTAAGGATATTCCTCAAAGGGAATCCAAATAAATCAACATGAACAAGGGCAGCAGCAACAGCAATAAAATAGCTGGAGTAGATCTCTATCTGTGTCTTTGAGTATGGAGCCCAGTTTTTCTCCATAGTCTCTCTATCTTCACCACTAGTGGGCCCTGCTCTTCTCCGCTGACCGTGCGTAGGTCTTCTTTTATTGTGGGTAATCATTATGCACAGAAATCGAAGAAATAGTTCTGCTTCTGTAGGTAAGGCCATGGAACAAGGACATTCTGTTACTGTGTCTTTCTACAAAGTAGAGCATTGACAGACTTTTCAGTGTAGTGGCAACAGGGATGGGGGTGGTTTATAAATTAAAATAGATCCATATTCTTTCTAACCTGGTTTTGCCACTCAGATTTTCTGGACCCTGTTTATTGCACTTAGAGCTGAGTTTGCCATTCTGGATACCATTATAGCAATATTTTATCCAGCGTAATTTCAGATGCATGTATGGGAAGTGAAATTTATCTGCCTGTTTTATGGTGCCACATAATAGCTAGCAAGGCTGCAAAGTTGTTAATGCTTGAAACCAAGATGAAGGGTAGGAAGACTACTTTAAAATATCCCTTTTCCCTTTTTCTTTTTCCACAAATATATTTTATTGCTCCATTCTCATTCTTAATCAAAACAGAAGAAATGAAATAAGCCAAGGAAACTAGGGAAGTAGAAAATGGTTAAAAAATAAATTTGAGAAACTCTATTGATATTTGAATTTTTCTTTTCTAGATTATGGCATTTCTCATTCTTTACTATGTAACTTCTCATGCAAGTAGTCCCACTAACTTATAAATTAACTTCTGTGATTAAAGTTATGCCCAACTAAGATGCATAACTCCAATATATAACTCTCCCCTGTTGTCTAACTATTCAATAATTAAATTAAAAAATGGTTCCTTGTAAAAAATAAATTGGGGGTATTACTTTGCTAGAAGTGTGAGGCCTTCAAAGACATATAATGTTAATAATATTCTTGACTGGGTTTTTAAAAGTATGCCTTAATACAGCTTTGATTAACTTATTTTTAACAGACTGATGTAGGATCAGTCCCACTTATGTCAATGAAGAACTTTCCTTCTCACTTCTGTGAGAATTAGTTCATGCTCTCCATTTGTACATTAGATATCTTTTCTTGTTGGCTTGGTGATTCATCAGTTATTTATATTTTTCCACTGACTCTGTAAATATCCCATGATGCTAAATTATTACCACATCTCCTACTGTACTATTTCCTTCTGATTTGAAACAAAATCATTTCCATGTAATTTAATTCTTCTTCCCAGAAATATACTCCATACTTCTTAGCGTACTCTCTAATTTGTTAATGGATTATTAACATGAATGTGATATAATTGATAGCCACTCAGCTTTTCAGTCTACTATACCAAACACCAGTAATATTACATACAGGCAGTCCTTGGATTTATGACATAACTGGTTCCTGAAAACTGCATCTTAAGTTGAAACGTTGTAACTGGGAACCAATTTTCCTGTAGGAAACCATGTTATAAATGAGGATTGGTTCCTGAATCAAGGCTTGATACCCTAGTTTCACCCAAAATAACCCAGGATTTTGTACTCAGTCAATTATAGATTAATAATATGGCTACATTAATGTATTTATATTGTAAATAGCATTCATATTGACTTGGAAGGATTTCTTTGAGGTGACTTTGCTAGACTTTTTGAAGGGCTCTTGGTTGGACTTTTTGAAGGGTTCTTGGCTGGAGTCTTCTCAGGAGTCTTGGCTGCAGGTTTGCCTGGAGTCTTGTCTGCTTTGTCCAAGGAAGTTTGGACAGATGTTCTCCAGGGAGATGAGTGACACGGTGAACTTGTTCGCTGGTGTAGCGCTGTGTCAGATCAAGTGGAGTAAAGTCGACCCTGACGTCAGAAAGTTGAAACGGTGTCGGTTTATGAAAGTTGTAAGTGCAAAATGTTGTAAGTCAAGGAACATTGTAAGTCAAGGACTCCCTTTAAATGTCTATGCTCCTGGCTACACAATTCAGAATTATATGCTTTTCTGCTCTACAGAGTTAACTCGGGCTCTTACTCAGGTATTGCCATACACCTGACTCCTATCTGCACACAGAAACCTCTCAGCCAAATGTAGTGATACATGACATTGGAGCTAACTGTCCTACTGATCTCTGGAAATCTGGGCTTAACTCTAAGTGTTTCTAATAATAACCTGACTGGTGACTTACAAACTTTACATTGTGGAGTAAGACTGAACCACTTGAGACTAAATCAATTTGTTTCTACAATTCCCCCATGGGCCAGTTGTTTCCCACACAGGCAAGTTCCCACACAATTTCTGGGAAAAGAATCATTGAACAGACCAGCTTATGTGATATGGTACCAAATGTCCTAATGCCTTTCAGAAGCATAGCAGCAGCCTGGATACAGTCATGGGTTACACAGTAGGCGTGACTATATGTTGCTCTACAGCGGCATTATTACTGCACCGTGCTTTAGTATTTCCTTTTGGAAGTACTAAAGCATGGTGCAGTAACCAGTCATACTATGCCATGCGCATGGTGCATGGTTATTTTTAGCAGCTGCTTCAGCATAATGGCATGCTATAAGGGAGGAGCATGCTGCTATGACAAAGTACTGTAGCTGCTGGTCAAGTGTAGACACCCATGGATGCTACATCACTGTAGTGCATTGCTATGGCAATGCAGTGTCACATGTAGATGTGCTTAGTATGTTGCAATGTGACAGCTCAGACCAGGCAAATCTAGCAAATTTCACAGGAGAATGTCAGTCTGCTGAGTGAACTCTGCAGTTAAGCTATACCTCAAATCATCATGTCTTTTCTTGAGCTCTTCCAACCAGGGGTCTGGGGAGTACAAATCTCTGCTTGCCTCTCTCATCCTTCAGTCTGCAGAGGTTCCCAAGAACAGCTGAGCTCACAGGAGAACTCTCATTGGCTGTCCACCCTGCTCTCCCACCCATGAGAAGAGGGAATGGAGCAAAAGGAAGTGCTGCAAACATGTTCCTCATTTTGAGAGTCATTTTTTAAGTACTTTGACCATAGCTGACACAAGTTTTTGGCTATGCATATCTGTACGCTCTATCTGGAATACTTCAAAGGCACATGGAATGCCTCTGATAGCACATCTGTCCCTGGCCACAGTCCTTAAAGTTGCTCATCTTCACTTTGTCTTATTCTGCATTTTCTTAGTGTCAGCTTCTAAGAATCCATTTAATACAGAGGTGTTTGTAGAGTCACTAATCTAAACCTGAACCTTTGTTTTGGTTGGCACTAAGTGAGCTAGAAGTTGATGTAGAGGCTTCTGATTCATATTATATTTCTACTTTTAGAAGCAACAATTAGTTTTAAACTCCTAAGCTAGTCCTGTTGTCATTTGAAGCAGTTTTGCAGAATGAGAGGTAAAATATAACACTCTCTGCCAGGAATTTATTTTCCACCCCATATGCAGTTTTGTTGCAGATCCATCTTTGCTACGATTTGGATTTCATTGTCTTAAAGGAAGTTTGAATCAATTCTTAATTACTGGCATTAGGCAATATCTGCTTTGCTAAGTTCTGGGCAAGTTGTTGCAAAACTATTATGTTCATTGCTATAGATCACATACATACTATGTATCTTACTGATATTGTGCAGATTTCTTAAGGGCTAAGTTCATCTTTTCCTGTTAATGCAAAATAAATATTTATAATATTTATGGGGAAACTACATAGAAACTGCAGAAAGAAAAATAGTCTCCACTGCCCCATGCTTGTCTTTGTTTGTAGGAACAGTATCCTTGGGTGGACTTCACTTTAAGTGAATCCAGAACTAGTCACATTTTTTAAATACTTCATGTCACTCACTTTTTCTGGTGTTGGAATGTTTTTTCCCAGTTGTTTTTGTATCTTATTGGAGGGGGTGTGTAATAGTTGATATACTTTTTATGATGACCAAACCATGTTAAGTGCTATCAGATAAAGAACAAGTTATGTGCACATTTAACTTAGAAAGAAACTTAATTCTTTTGAGGCTCTCAATGAATCCATTGCAAAGCAAGTTTGAGTAACAGGTACAAACAGGTCACCCTTTGCTAAAAAAGGGCTAACTCCTGCAGCCCTTGCTCTGGCATAACTCTTGTCGAAATACATTTTTCCTGAGTGAGGAGTGCATAAACTGAAGGACATAAGTGGTTGTTTTCAAACATGATGGTTTTTCAACAAATTGTTCATTTTAAACGAGAATTGTGAACAATTCTAACAATATCTGTCCATTTTTGTCATCAAGACTGTAAATATAAACTAAGAGCTTCAGAACATTCTTCCAAAAATAAAGATGGTACATGTTAAAGACTTGTTTCTACACTGCATCACACCTCATGTGGTCATGTGCAAAGCAATGATGAATATTCTTGTTGTACAGTGGGTACGATGTAGCTCTATGCAGAGGACCAGCACAAGGCCTGCATACCATTTAATATGACTTATAGTCAACTTAAGTGGCACATGCTTTGGGCTGGCCCACTGAATAGGGCTGATTTTAATGCAGTTTGAGAATCATACACACCTGGAAAATGGGGATATAACCAGACTGTTTCAGATATAGAAATACTGGTACCACATATCCTCTAGCATTATATGTTTAAATATAAAGTAATATCAGATAGATAGACTTTTTAAGTAGTTGATTTTAACATTATGTATATTTATTTCTAGATACTGTTAGAAGTTGTGTAGCAAAGTTGTTCTTCAGCTGCCCCCTGAAGGGTCATTACTGCCTATACAGTAAATCCAGTTTTACCCTCATCAGCCGACAGCCTCAGCTATGGATCCATATCATGTTTCTCTTTCAGCAGGTGTGTGTAATACAAATAAGTGGTGACACCTCTATAAAGTAAAACTTTATACTTGAAAAATCAATGTCTTACTGATAATCCGTTTAGATCTGTTTAATGCACATAGCAGCTACTATAAGTGTTCTTTGAGTTTCCCTTTCTGATTTTTCAGAACATAGGTAGTCTTAAACATACCAGTTCCAGGTACTTTGCAATAGACTGACCTCATTTTGTACAACAGATTATAAACTTTCTATTGAACATAACAAAGTTACACAGCCGGTACGAAATTAAGTATGAACCCTGGGTCAAATCACCTAGTCTTTATTTAGGCAAGACTTCCGGTAAAAACAAGGCTCATGGACAAAAAAAGAAAAACAAAAAACAGAGCAGAATCAAGTTCACCAGCTTTTGTAGTTGTCAAGGTATTTAGCTTTTTGCCCTATGAGAGTTTGACTGAGTAAGGTTTGTAGGTTTTGTTCAATTCTTATCCATCAAATGGTATTTTAATTGTTATTTTATGTGTCTCTCTGAACAAAGGACCAAATTACATGGAACTTTCTAATATAAAATATGTTGAATGCTATCAAAAATCCTGAATTCATAGTTCAAGATGAAATGTGATTGTTACTAGCTTATTCAGCTTCTCAAACTATGTAGAGTCAGTGATAATCAGGGATCTTGGTTTTCTCTGATAAAAAAATTGCAAATTCTCTGTTTAAACCCCCGCAAATCTGCATTTTTCTATAATTAAAATGAATTGGCACTATATACAGATGAGCACAATGTTTTGCTATATTTACAATTTTAAAGCAATTTAAGCCTACCAGTGCCTTAATCACTATAATAAAAAAAATTCTAAATACCTGTAAATTTTGGTGGTTGAGTTCAGCTTTTTTATCATAGAAATTAAGAGCTCCCCTTGCCCCCTTCACTCAGCAGAATATGGGTCCAGCTGCAGCTGTCCCCCCTGCACTGCTTTGTGGCCCTGAGCAGCCCTGATATGCCAGTGTCCTGCCCATGACAGTGTCCCTCACTCCCAAGCCACAGTTCTTTGGCCCTGCCAGTGCCTCTCACTCCCAACCCACAGCCCCCCTGGTTTTGCCAGTATCCTTCACTCCCAACCCACAGCCCCCCAGCCTTGCTGCTGCTCCTCACTCCCTACCCTCAGCCCCTCCTAGCCCTGTTGGTGCCCCTCACTCCTCACCCAACAGTGCCCCACCCCCCAGCCCTGCTGGAGGGGGTCTCCAGCTGCCAGGGCTATAGACCCAGGTCTGTAGCCCTCTGCCCCCTCCAGCAGCACCCAAGCTCCATCTGTCACCTGTGGGAGGTGGTAGCTGCTGTGGCCTGAGCGGAGTTCAGAGTCTGGCTCCCCCTCCCCCAGGGGTGGTATAGCTGGAGCGAAGCCCATGGACGGGGGACAGATACGGGCTGGTGGCTATGGGTATGGGGCTCCCTGCCATGCTGTCCTCCTCTCAGGGGCCTCTGCATCCCAGTGGGAGAGACCTGGTGTGGGAAAGCAGAGTGGAGAAGCATGGTGCCACCACCAGGAGCCCCTCACTGCCATGGCGAGGCACCCCCTACCCACCCAGCAGCAACAGAGACTACAACTCCACGCTACCGCCCCTGCTGCTGCTGGGAGGGCAGGGGCACCTTGTCCTCATGGCATGGGGCTCCTGGCAGTGGCATTGAGCCTCCCTGCCCTGCCCTGCTCTGCCCGCCCATTCTGGGTCTCATCCCCTTGGCCACAGAGGCCCCTGTGGGGCTTCCTTTAAATGAGAAAATCCTCACTTTTCTCCTTAAAATGAGAAAATCCTCATTTTACTGTTTTTTTCCATGGCAAACAGAAAACCTGGATCCCTGGTGATCATGCAGAGTGTACTGTGATATTTCAATTTGAGCACTTAGTGATGGAGATTTGTTAAATCACTGTATCCATCTTCTGCAAGTGGACATAGAGGATATTTCTGATATTAGACTAATGTGATCTTGGCTAATTTTTAACATTTGACAATCCAAAAATATATGGTGAATTATACTCTTAATGATTAGTTAATTTATTCAGTCAAGTTATCCTGACATGTATAATTTCCTAGAAATTAGTACACAAAAAAAGAAAAAAGCATAAGTTGGGGGTTAAAACAATTTTATTTAACTTTCATTTCAAGTAGATGAATTAGGGAACAGATCAGGATCCCACCAGCCAGGTAAGCCCTACCTGAAACCATCAATCCAGTTTCAGCACTGACAGCTGCTCCTTCTGAAGCTGAGCACATTCATCTTTTGAACCTAATCCTGAAAGATTATATGTGCTGGAACAACTAGGAAAGTAATGGGACAAAATTCCTCCACTAATATCTCACTGTTTATGTTACCTGCTGTACTGTAAAGTTCAGCGCTCCCACTGCCACAAAATACTCTTAAAGGCTTTGTCATTTTGAAGCTATTTTAACCTCACATAACCTCAGGCTCCCAGCTGGCCCCTCCCTGCTTCTCCAAACCACTTTGCCTGTGGGAGAGGTGGCTCTAATTAGGATTTGCATTCTTAGCTGGTGGTTGTTGGAGACAAGGAGGAAAGAATTCTGAACATGGGGATGGGTTCGGAGCCTGCAGAGATGCATGCCTTTTCTGACTTTAAGGGTGTCAGACTGGAAAGGGCTCAGAGCAAAGTGAGTGGTTCTGCACCATAAGGAAGTTAGGCAGTAGGAAGGGAAGTTTTCAACCTGAGGCGGAGGGAGTGTGTGTGTGGCAGGGTGGGGACAGGTGCTTATGAACTGTTGAGGTTCAGCTTGAGAGAGATGACCAGCTTGGGACCTTACAAGGAGGATGAGGCATGGGTTAATAGAAATGAGTGTAGAGGAGATAGATGTCAGTTAGTGACTGTAAGAGAAGCTGAATATATGGTGTATGTTGGGAGGGGAAGTAGAAGAAGGGAAATGATTAGGTAGCACTAAACTGAAGTGGGGGAGAACAGGCAAAGGGTCACACAGCGATAAATACTATTCCTGCCTCCCTGTTTTATGTTATGAAGTGATCAGATCTTTTTTCCAAACAGGATGGGGGAATAATAGGAGAGAGAGAGAGAGAACACCTTTTTTTCCTATCTGGTTTCTCACCAATCTGTCTCATCTCTCACAGCTCCCTGTGACTTTCCCATGCAATTATCCTGGTCATCAGCTGCCACTTCTGAGCAATAGAAGTTCTCAGAAGATTCTTGGCACCTCACAGGATCATAACCTTACCTGGCATTTATCACACTTTTACTTAATCTTGCATAGAGATTACTGTCTGCATCTAACTGACGGTTCTGAATGGGATCTACTTCAGCACAGCCCTTAAATATATGCTTCATTTTAAGCATGTAAGTAGTAGGCCTGTGCCAAGTGGCTAGTATTCACTTCGGATTCGGATTTGGCCAATATGGGGGACAGTGATTTGATTTGATTGAATCTCCAAATCAAACAGGCCCCATCCCCTGCCCGCTCTCCCAGCCCCGTCAATAGCTGCTTCCCCCAGCACCAGCATCCTGGCACTTTACAAAAAGGCCCACACTCACCAGCTCCTGCCAGGTGGGGGACAATCCCTGTTTCCCCCCACTGCTGCACACTGTGTGGGAGGCTCTGCCATGAGCCCCCAGAAGCCCTGTCAGCACCACAGCAGCTGGTGAGGGCGGGGCTTTTTTTTTTTAAAGAACTGGGAGCTGGGGCCAGGCAGGGCAGCCATGGGGGTGGGGGCTGGGAGAGTGGGCATGGGATAGGGGCTCGTGGTGAAGCCCCCAAAGCAGCACGGGGCAGTAAGGGGCAATGGGAATCACTGCCCCCCACACCTGGCAGCAGCCAGTGAGTGGCAGGATGCTGGGGCTGGGCAGGACAGCCATTGACAGGGCTAGGGGAGCAGGTAGGGATTAGGGGATGCTCAGGGGAGCTGGGGGAGCAGGCAGGGGATGTGGCCTAGCAGGGGTCCTCCCATGGTCTCCTGTCCATCCCCCCCCTTCTTACCAGCACAGAGTCCGGGTCCAGCTCCCTGTGGTGGCAAGTGGGGGCTGCCCGAATCTCTGAAGCTCTCCAAATCTTTTCCAAATTGATTCATAGAGCTTCAAATCAATTCAGACCTTTTTATTGGTCTCCTGATTCAATTTGGATTCAGAGATTCAGCTGCCGAATCTCCTCCGAATTGAATGAGAATGAGCACCCAAAGCTTCACACAACCCTAGTAAGTAGTCTTACCAAAGATAATAGGACTACTAGGATGCTTAAGAGAGAAGCAGATGCTTTATATGACTTGCTGGACTGAGGTTTTAGTGCACAATCTCTAGAAAGATTTAGGAGCATTTAACACACTGAGTAAGAGCAAATCTGCTTGTTCCAGCTGGATAGTGCCAATCTCAGGAGGAGGAGAGGAGAGGTTTGTTCTGATGCTTGTCCGAAGTTTGGTACATTAGTGAAGGCAGGTAAGGGATGGGAAGACAGGCTGAGTAGTGGAGAGAAATTTGGCATAAGGAGAATTTGGGGGCAAGGATGGAATCCCAGGAAAAAGAGAAGGAAAAAAAGGAACAAGGAGGCAGGATAACAGAAGAAATAGGAAATAAGACAATACCAAAGTGAAAAGAAAGGGGAATCTGAAGAGAAAGGAAAAAAGTTATTTGCAAGCTTTCGGGCACAAACACCTTTCATCAGACATAGAAAGACTCTGCTGTTGTTATGTGTTCTCCAAGGTAGACAACAAGCTAATTTGTAACAAGCATGTCTGTGAAAATGCAAATGAGTGGAAGTTAGGAAGACAATAGGTTGAGATAGGAGGGAAGGTGGGGAAAGGAAAAGTGTGAAGGAATTCAAGTGATCAGTTGGAGGCAAGTTACCTGGGGTATCAGAAGTCAGGCAGATTGTTATGTGTCATATATCCAGTGTTTATATTAAGTTCATGATTTTTTGTATCCAGTAGATTTATGAAGCGAAGTTTGTAGGCTTGTCTCTGAAAGGTGTTTTGTAAATTCCGTTTGAGGATTAGAACTCCAAGATCAGAGAGGGAGTGATTTTCTTGTGGGAAGTGTGCACCCACAGGTAATTGGATATTTTTGTCTTTGATGAATTTTTGGTGTGCATTCATTCTGGTATGCAGTTGTTTGGTTTCTCCTACATATTTTCCATCAGGTCAGGGCATTTGGTGCACTGGATGAGATATATTACATTTATGGAGGTGTAGATGTAAGATCCAGGAATGGTGAAAGTTCTGTTGTGGGGTGTAGTTATTGTGCGACTGGTGGAGATGTGTTGGCAGGTTTTACATTTCTTGTCTTGGGATGGTATGAATCCATTGGGTGTGGTTTGGGTTGTAGGAAGTTTGCTTCTGGTGATGAGGTTAGCGAGGTTTGGTGCTTGTTTAAAGACTAGGATGGGTGGTTCTGGAAAGATGTATTCAAGGATTAGTTCTTCTTCTAGTATGGGTTGCAATTGTTTAAGGATTTTCCATATAGATTACAGGGAGGGATCGTATGTCATAACTAAAGGTGTGTGTTTCATGGGGATTTTCTTTTTGTACTGCAGGAATTCTTCACATGGTATCTGGGTGGTTCTTTCAAAGGTGTGATCCATCTCTCTGGAGGAGTGTCCTTGCTGGGTGAAAGCCCTTTTGAGATTTGTGAGGTGACAATCATGGGTATTCTCCTCAGTGCAAATTCAATGGTATCAGAGAGCTTGGCTGTAACTTACAGCTTTTTTGGTGTGTTTAGGGTGGGTGTTGGTTTTGTGTAGATACGTATGTTGGTGCATGGGTTTCTTGTATATTGGGAAGATGGTTTATGTTTTTGAGTTTTTACAGAAAATCTGTTGTGTCTTGGATAAAATTCAGTCTTTGGGTGACAAGAGGTCTTAGGATGGATTTGATGAAACCTGATATTTCTTCAGTTAGGGTTCCATGGTTGGAAATTACAGGTCTGCAGGGGTTCTCTTGTTTGTGGATTTTAGGGAGTATGTAAAATGTCCCTGGATTGGGTAGTAGAGGGATCAGGGTCTGAAGTTTTTCTTGAAGTTCAGATGGAAATGATGTGATGGTGAGTTTGAGTTTTGAGGTGAAAAAAGGAGTTGGGTCTTCCTTCAGTTTTTCATAGTAGGTGGTGTCAGAGAGTTGCCTGTTGGCTTCTTTTATGTAGTCTTCATGGTTAAGGATAACTATAACTTGGCTTTTATCTGCTGGTTATATTACTATTTGGTGGTTGGATCTTAGAGATTCTATGGTCCTTCTCTGAAAGGGAGAGGTTGTTGTGGTGGTGTTTGTTGTTGATTATTTCATTGTTTGTTCTCTCTCTGAAGCAGTCAATAGGTTGAAGTTTGAATTTTGTCCACTCTAAGGTGTCCAATCTACGGGGGTTTTTATTTTTTGGCATTAATATTTTCATCAATGTTGTCACAGGATGAAGTCATGTTGAAAGTGGATTCGTTTTGGTTGTGGAAATATTCTTTCAGATGGAGGCGTCAGAAAAATTCTTGTAGTTCTCCACACTGGAGTGTCTTATTTGGGTATTTTTCTGGACAGAAATTAAGGCCTATGGAGAGGACAGGTTTTTCAACCTTGATAAGAGTGTACATAGCGAGATTGATAATATTTGAGGGTTGATTTGTTCCTTCTGTTTCATCAAGCATGAAGTTGGAATGTTGTAAGGTATTCATGTTGTTTTTCTGATGGTTGTTTTGTGGCTGGAAGAATTGTTCCTGTAGTAATTGCTTCCATTTCTTCTTTTTGTGTTGGATGGATGTTGTAACAAATTTTGGTATAATCACTATATAATGTTGGGAAGATATTCAGATTTCTCTCTTAAATTGTTGTAGCATGTGTTGATTTCCTTCTTGAGCTGATTTTTATTGGAGTAGGTTATGTGAAAGAGATGATTTCTAAGTTTTTCTGAAGTTGTGAAGCATATTTGGATTTATGACATGTTTATGACATTAATGGCACATTTGGATTTATGACCCATTACAGCCTGCCTGACATCTGATACCTCAGGTAACCTGCCTCCAACTGACCACTTGCATTCTTTTACACCTTTTCCTCCTCCCCCCTCCATCTCTACCCATTGTCTTCCTAACTTCTACTCATTTGCATTTTCACAGACATGCTTGATTTAAATCAGCTTCTTTTCTACCTTGGAGAACACATAACAACAGCAGAGTCTCCCTATGCCTGACTAAGGGTGTCTGTGCCCAAAAGCTTGCAAAGAACTTTTTTAAACTATTTAGTTGGTCTAATAAAAGATATCACATTACCCTAAGAACCTTGCCTTAGACCAACATGGCTACAACCAACAGCTCTGAAGAGAAAGGATGAATTTGAAAAAAAAAGTGCTTTGATGAAAAAGAAAAGATGAAAGGATGGTCTCAGGGAGAAATAATCTCAATAAAATGATGCATGATGGAAAAATCAGACAGAGGGAAACATATGGAGAAAAGATGTAAATAAAGGCACATAAAGGAGTAGAGAAGGAAGAGCAGAAACAAAGGAAACCTACAATAGCAGGGTTTTCTTAATTTTATGCAGTCCAATTCAACATGTATACTATCCTGCTGTACATGAACAAAAATATTGTTAGGCATGTCCCGTTTCTGCTGTGTGGTTGAATGTTTGTATGGAGAATTTCATCACTAATTTCAGATTTCATGTGCCATGCTTTGCATTTGCTTGATAAATACCTTTGTTTTTAAAAGCCACTCACTTTAACCCTTTCATCCAGATTATGTTGACTTTAGGCCTGATATTTTCTGGCTTCTATTGAACTGGGATAGTAAGCTTTGCAAATTTGACATCTCACCAGAAACTAAGTTGTTTCTTTGTACAATTTTTCCGTTCTTCTGTACTGTCCTTCATCTCTCTCTCCTCATTTTTATACCCAGGGTTGTGCAAGTCCACATTTCCCTGTACTTAGCACTCCATCATCTGGCCATTATTTTCCTAGGAACTTATTTCCTTTTAAAAAAAACAAACTATGTTTTTTGTAGTTTTGTTTCTGTTCTGAGTATTGGTTAAAATCTGGGTTCTTGTAGCTTTGTCCTTCTAGTGCTTTTGAAGTTATTTTAGTAAACATTGTTATTAAACATCTGGAATCGGATTCTGGTACAGAGTCAAAAAACAAACTGCATTTAGCATCAGTTGTGAGGGGCTGAGCCAATAAAATTTGATTTTTTGTCCCTCTATAAACACACTGCAATTTGTACACCTTTCTCTGAAAAAACATGGGCTTTTATTGTGTTGCATTCAGTGTTAAACTTGCTATGTCAGTATTTGCCTTAAATAATTTACACTTTTCATTTGCTTGAAATTATAAAGCTTTTACAAATGGTATATATAGCTATTATTAAAATTAAATATCGTGCTAAATTCAGCCATACTATAACCTCACTAAAGTTAGTGGACTTGCACAAGATAGGAATTTGGCATGAAATAGATTTACAGTATATTAGTATTTAATTTAGTTCTTTATTAACTATAAAAGCCCATATTCAGAAAAGACTAGCATACAACTTCTAAAGAATTCCATATGAGTTACCTCATTTTTTTGAATAAATGCTATTTTTTTTGCCATTTGTTATATACTCTCTTTATAGCCTACAAGGAAAGAATTTTGTTCTTCTATCTCTATGACATATCTTGACTTCCTTCTGCATTATAATTTACTGTAAAGTTTTAATGAATACAATCCTAAGGTTTTAACATATTTTGAAATCCATGGGTGAAAGTTGTGAAAATGCAGAGTATTATATTTATTTATTGTTATTTTAACCCCTGGGGTTTTGTGCTTTCAGGAGAGCACAATATTTGCATTACCATCTATTATGTAAGGCTGAGAGGAGAATTTTCTTCCAAATAAATAATTATTAGGAAATGAAGTTAGAACAATAGATGATTTATGGGCATTTTCTCAAAATGTAAGACCTTAATCATAAAATCATAGAAAAGTAGGGCTGGAAGGAAACTCTGGAGGTCATCTAGTCCAGGCTCCTGTGTGAGGCAGGACCATGCTATCCAACCCATCCTATACAAAGCCTTGTCTAGTTTTGTTACTAAAACTACACAATCAACTCTATCATACAACCGCAAAGCATAGTAGCATAACCTGCCAGCGGGGGACAAGAGTGGTCAGTGTCTTACTGCTGCAAGGGTGTTAAATACTCTAGAGATCCATGGAAGAAGGCCACATTCAAATCCATTTTTGAAGAGGATCAAAGTGAGTTCTAGTTTTCAAGTATGACTAGCGATTTGTCAGGAAGATCATGGTTGCATCAAGGGAGAATGTGTTTTTTACTAGTCCTGTTAAAAGCCAACACATATGGCTAAGTTATAAACTTATAAAAATCATAGGTGGGACATGCTCAGCCGAGTCTTGTTCGATATTCACAGTGACATTCCTCGAAGATACCATTTCCCCTGGGTAGGCTTCAGCAATGGCCCAAGCAGGACTTTCTTTGCAGTTGCAGTTCTGGGTTGCTGAGGGATGGAGTAGAGCCAGACATAAGAACTGGAAGCAGGAAGCTTTTCTCAGTGACCCCCACAATGCCAGGCCTGGGCAACAGAAGAGGAGGAACCTATGTGACCTGAATGCAACATGGTCAAGATGGTGTGGAGATGGATTATATTGGGATGAGGGAAGGAGAGACTGGAACTGGGGGCTAATATGATGGGAAGGAAATTGAACTGGGAATTAGGAGAAGGAGGCAGGAACTAAGAACCAAAGACATGGAGGCAAGAACTAGGAGTCATAAGGAGTGTGGCGGGGAAAAGGAGAAAAGGGGGCAATGGAAATGGCTGAGTGAAGACACAGAATAAAGAGATGGGGCAGGAAATGTTGGTAAGATTAAAAGTCTGTGGGTGAGGAGAAAACTAAGTTTGAATGAAGAGCCAGTGGAGACACTGAGACTGGCAGGGCAAGAATATCAGTCTAACAGAGGGAAAGAGGAAGCAAGTCTAACAGGGAGCCAAGATAGGAATTGAAATCTGGGACTGGCTGAACAATAAGACTTGGACAGGGATACCGGGGACAGAAAAGAGGCTCTGTGATTGGACAGGGAGCACAGAGAGGGGAAATAGAAGTGGGTGTGAATTGACCAGAGGGTGGTTGGGGAAAACAGATAGGATGAAGAGCCAGAAAGGGATGAACTGGGACTAGCTTTGCAAAGAGACAGGGAGGATAGGACATCTAGAGGAGACTAGGACTTGCTGGGCATGGAGATGACCACACCTTTCTTAAACTTCTCAAGTCTGGATGAACCAGCATTCCTAAGTTTCACTGTTACTCTGATGAAAGCAAATACCTGTGAAAGCAAATACCTGTGAATACCAAGGGAAAAGTGAATGTCTCATTTCACTCTAGTGTTGGTCCCTAGTGCTGGGATGGATCTGGGGGTTAGAGGGGGTGCACTGGTGCACTTACACCCCTCTTTAAAATCAGCTTCTGGGAATGACAGCGGTACAGCTACTCCTTGCTTAATGTTGTAGTTATATTCTTAAAAAATGCAACTTTAAGTGAAACAATGTTAAGCAAATCCAGTTACATCACATTAGTTACCTACTAGCAAGCAGCAACCAAACAACATTATAACCAAACATTGCGCGACTTTGAATGAGTATGTTCTCTAATAGATCAGCGACGTAATAATGAAACGATGTTAACCTGGATGACATTAAGTGAGGCGTACCTGTATTTGTAGTCATTACAAGCTACCTGATCCCTTCTAATGGCTTCATTCCACAGGTGTTAACCATCCTCTTTTCCTTTTAATGGTCTTGATGTTCCATCAATCATTCTGTAATTCCGCTGTCTAGGGCTGCGCGAAACAGCACCATTCTGATTCTACTTCCATTTTGACGATTCAATGGAACAGTGTTTTGTTTCAAAAACACTCTTCCATTTCATTTCATTAAAAGTGTTTTGCTGTTTTGACACTGTTTTGATGTTTTGCCCATAAGTTATTATGGGGAAACATAAAATGCAGCAGGCAGGCAGATCGGGGGCTTGCCCGCACGCCCCACACAAGCTAATCTGCCCTGGCCCCATATGGGAGCCGGCTCAAGGTGGGTTCAGACTCCAGGCAGATCAGGTCGTGTGGGGATCCTCCCCTGCCCTGGGATCGGGGCGGCAAATCTCCACATGAGTTGATCAGCCCCGGCCCCACTGGCCCCAGGTGGCAACACGTGGCTCGTGTCAGCCTACAGGCAGATCAGAAGCCCACTGGCACCCCAGGAAGGCCTGCAGGGGCTGTGCCAGAGTTCTCCTGGGAGTGCATGCCCCCACTCTGCCTGCTGGGAGATAGGAGCCGGGTGCTGCTGCCTGGGGTGCTGGGTGTGGGTTGAACCCAGCGACAGTCTGTTATCTGAGAGGCAGATTGGGGGCCTTCACCCCTGGGAGGACTCTGGCACAGCCCCTGCATCCCTCCTGGGGGTGTGGGTGAGCTCCCAACCTGCCTACTGAATGACAGGAGTAAGCCTGGCTTTGAAATTCAAGATGTTTTGAAACTTTCTAAACATGTTGAGTTCCCTTGTTTTGTTTCATTTCAAAGACTTTTGTTTCATTTTGATTTCGCTATTTCAAGCTCAAAATGCACTGAAACAACTTCGAAATGAAACGCTGGGTGAAATTTCACACAGCCGTACTGTCTGTTAGCTGCTCCTGGTAATGAAGCTCCTGTTTCACAGTCCTGCAAACTGTTTTTAACTCATTCCAATGAAATTATATTTGTTTTCGCTTCCATCTTAAACTGAGTATCGAAGCTCTAGCCCCCTAGCATATTAGTAAAGCTTCTAGTGTATTTTTAGTAAAATTTCTAGTGGAAAAAAATATGTGTTGTTGTATATGTGATGATGCATCATGTGCACGCCCCTTTTGAAAATTCTAGATCCACCCTATGCTGTTCCACATACAGGATGAGAACCTAATACTGCTATCAGTTACTCTATTAGTCCAAGTAGCAGAGGTCTATATGGAGCATCTAAAAGATCAAGCCCTGCTGATGAACAATGTGTGTGGCAGTATGATGCCACACAATTAAATCCATTTTGGTTTGGGTTTTTTTTTTCCAAGTAGCTTTTATTACAAAACCTGGGAAACTTCATACACAAATTGTTTTTTGAAAGGCTGGATCTTTACTCATTCTTAAGGTCACAAAGTCAAGCAAAAATTAGGAGAAACCAGAGTTAAAGTTTCCCATAGAAATACTATGACAGACCCCGTGTGTGTGTGTGTGTGTGTGTGTGTGTGTGTGTATGTATAGGCGCGCACATGCACACACACACACATTTGACTACATGATCACATGCTATTTTTTTTCATCAGGACAGAAATGGGTAATACTGACAACTTCAAAAAATTAAAAAAAAATTTTTTTTAGTGTAATTTACAAAATAAAGGACTTAATCCTGCTTTCCCTCCATGTCCTGCTTTGCCTGGTGCTATTTCAGACTTGTTTTGTGAATGTTAAAAAATGAAATGTCTTGTTATAAGTAAAAAACTTTTATGAACATGTGCTGTATAATCATTTCTCTTTGTATGTAGTCCCATTGTCTTCAGTGGGACTAATCACATGAATGGCACTCATCAACATGATGAGTAAGGGTTGTATAATCTGTCCTTAAGTAAATTAATTTGCTCCTTGCATGTGATCTTCAAATTATACCTCCTAGATTGTTTGCAATAAAAAGGCATGCAGCAAAACATGTACTACTAACCTATATAAGCTAGTATTAGTAAAATTATATACTAGTGTTACATGATGTATGTGTGTGTATTAATTAGTTTATACATAAGTTAGTGCTAGTGTGTGCATATACATGTGCACACATTCATACATGTTTAGATACATGCACACACATGCATACGTACTACTACTACTAAATTATATATAAGATTTAATGAATGAAGTGCCTGTTAAGTCATATTAAGTCTTTTGCTTTTCTGAAATGTTTTCATTGTATAATAAATAACAGCAAATGGAACAGATAGGATATATTTAGTTTCCCTGATTTATCTACTTTGTGTAGATATGAATCAGTTTTAACCAAAGATAATTTTTGTTTAAAATATGTCAGTGTTTCTATGTTGTTAAATAAGAGGATAAAAGTTTTTGCCTAGTTGTAGTATGTTGAAATATGAACAAGAGGATATTTAAATCACTTAATTAAAAATATTTGAAATACCCATTTAATTTTTTCCACAGAGCTTGTTTCCAGAGCCTTTGTCCATACAGAGTAACCCTGTACAAGTTCTTAAAGCCCTGTGGGAAAAAACACAGCTGAAAGGTACACACAGTTTTGAAAATACAATGATTCAGTCTACGTTTCCACACCAAAAGGTAAGCATTTTCTCTCTAGGGAAAAAAGTGCTTTACACTTACCTGGAGATTAGATATCCACAGATCTTTGCTATATTTAATTAATGAAAAACAAAATGTTGGGTGTGGACAAATGAACAAATTACAGCAATTTAAAAAGTGCTGAGGAGAAGAGGACTTGTCATGCATCACCTGAGCCATGGTAACTGTTTGTCTGCTCCTATAACTTGGAAAGTAGAAGCTCAGCCAGGGTAGTTTTTACCCCTGAATGAAACAGCTGCTAGATGATCCTAATTAAGCTTCCACTTAATGCAGAATAGCAGAGATACAGAACCATTATTACAGATCAGCTGATGTTGAATATGTCTCCCCCCCACAATTTAATGCAGTATAATTTGTTCGTATGTCATTATTTTTTTCTGTCACACACAATGTTTTAACAAATGCACTAAATGGAACCCTCTTTATTGGGCCCAAATCTGCTTCCAAGGAAATCAAAGAAAATTTTTATATTGGCTTATGTTGGTGCAGGATAGTCAAGTCCAGCTGTCATCTCCTCTTGGTTTTCTGAAGCAAAAAAAAATAAATTAAAATGCATTAATTTTAATATTATTTTTCCATGTAAACAATTGCTATCTTGCCAAAAAGATAATACATGTTTGCATGTGGGGGAAAAGAAAATCTGTCATTGATAATTGGGAGGGAAGTAGTACATGAATAATAGATTGGATTTTAAAAAGAGCCTTTTTGTGCCTTAGAAAAATTCTCATTGACTTTCAAGCTTTCTATTTAAGAGTGTGTCCACCAGGGCTGTGTGAAGCGGGCCCTATTGGATTTGGATTCAGATTTAACCCAAATCGGGGACAGTGATTCGATTAGTTGATTCTGAATCTGAAGATTCAATGCTGATTCGGATGTAGACACAGCTTTAAATGCTTTTTCTACATACCTCGAGGTGTCAGTGCAGCTCGTGAATGCTGCAACACTGTGGCAGATGGAGCATCCCACAGGAATGAGGGGGCCCCCCTACATGCTCAGTGGCGAACCTGGAAGTGGACCAGGAGTACTTCTGATCCACTTCTGGGTCTGCCAGGAAGCACGCAGGGTGCCCCCCACCCCGTGCCCTACTGGCTTGGTGATCAGAAACCGAGAGACCCCGGGTGCTCCTCTAGACCTAGGAGGCACCAGTTGCCGAGCTGGGGGAATGCGGGGGGCCTGCACTCTCCCCAGCAGACCAGAAAGTGGACTGGAAGTGCTTCTGGTCCAATTCCGGGTCTGCTGTCAAGCACGCGGGGGACCCCCCAACACTTCTGTGGGACACTCCACGTGCCCCAGCATTGCAGCATTCATGAGCTGCCTGCTACCTAGAGGTATGTAGAAAAAACATTTAAAGCTGTGTCTATGTCCAAATTGCTGAATCTCTCCGAATCGATTTGGAAGGTTCTGATTCGATTCAGAGAAATTAAAAGGTCCTCTGATTATTTGAATTCGGAATCAGGGACCGAAGCTTCGCACAGCCCTAGTTTCCACACTAGGGAAACATTTGTTTGGGATCATTGGTAGCATCTCTTTTTTTTTGTTTTTTTTGTTCTTTTGCTCTGTTGATGTGTGTGCATTGAAAAAACCCTGTTTCTTTAATGGCATTGAGTTTCACCTTCCCTCATTGCTGTGTTGTTCTGGTTTCTATTAGGTGTCTTTCTTCATTACTTTGCAAAGTTCTTGATAGGTATCTTGTTGATCTGGGAGTTTATGGTTTGTTCAAATTCTTGGGATCTTTTATATATAAAGTTCAACTTATAGGGAGTTGAAATGTACTTCTGAAAAAATATATTTCTGATTTTTATAGCCGGTGAATTAGCATTCTATTGTTGTGTACTTTAAAAGATCTCCAGCCTTTTTCCCTAATCTCTCACACAAGCTTCATGTGAGGTGAATGAAAATTGTGGATAATACCTGTGGGTTTGTTTCCTATTTACATAGTTTCAAGATTTAAATCAGAATAGCTGCCATTATAGACTTCTTGATACTTATTTGGAAACTCACATACTTATACACAGACTTAGATTTTATGAAAAAGATAATTTTCATGTGCTTCATTCTTAACTTCTGTAAGTTTAAAGGGTGATTTTTATTGTTTCTGGGATTTGGGGCATTAATCAGAATTCATGCATGAAAACAAAACAGCAACAAATATCTATTTTTTTCTTGAACTACTTTTTTATATCACCTCTAATATTGGATGAACTAAATTGTTAAGCTTCTTGAACTAGTCTTTTTCAAACAGAGACTAAGCCTAGAACATGTGTCTGAAAAAAGGTTTAGTAAAATTACCACAGGTTTGAAAATAGGGTTTTTTTTTGTTGGAATCAGCCTCTGAAACTTAAAGATAGTGTTGCTTACTATAGCTAGATAATAGGGATGTGTGAAATTTTGTCAGCAGTTTCGTTTCGGCGCTGTTTCGACTCGTTTCAAGCTCAATTGAAATGAAACAGAGATCTTCGAAACAGGCTCAAACGAAACTAGGCAAGTCAAAACGTTTCAAAATTTTCAAAATTTTTTGAGTTTCGAAGCTCAAGCTGGGCTTGCCTGAAAGGAAACAGAAACTAAAGTAAGGAGAGGGACGGGGTAGTGGGGAAGGAGTGCTCTCATTATTGACTGTAGGTGGCCAGTGACTGTCATCCTTTCCTGAGGTCTCTTCCAATCCTGGTGCTCTGGGGGAGGGATGGAAAAATTGAATAAAAGGCAGCATTGGTTGAACTGCCCTGCTTTCTGCCTTGGTGTCAGTTGAGTGAGGGCGCACCTTAACACACACACAGTATTACCCACCCATGTCATGAGTTTTGCCTGTCAGCAGCTAGAGGTGCAGGGCCCCAGAACCCAGACTCCCCCTGCATCGATCTCCTTGACAGCTGGCAGGTTTCGTGGCCGCAGCAGGGCCTAGCAGGCCTGCAGTTTTCACTGCCCTGTGTCCCAAGACAGACACAGTCCAACAAGCACCCATGTCACAAGTTTTGCCTGTCAGCAGCCAGAGGTGCAGGGCCCCAGAACCCAGAAGCCCCTGCACCTCTCTCCTTGAAAGCTGGCAGGCTTTATGGCCTCAGCAGTGGCTAGCATGCCTGCAGCTTTCACCCTGCTGCGCATTAATACACACAGCATCACCCAGGTCATGAGTTTTGCTTGTCCGCAGCTTGAGGTGTAGTTTCCCCCTAACACCTGCACCTGTCTCCTTGAAACTTGGCAGGCTTCATGCCCTCAGAAGGGGCTAGCAAGCCTGCAGTTCTGACCCCGCTGTGGCTTAACGCATACACTTGACATGAGTTTTTTATTTTCAAGACTTTGAGGTGCAGTTTCCCGAAGCCCCTGCACCTATCTCCTTGAACCTTGGCAGGCTTCATGCCCTCAGAAACTTCTGTAGAAACTTCTCCCTATATGCACTAAAGACACATCTATACTGCTGGATGTTATATGGATATGGTCAGCATTTGTGCCTTATTAGTTTTACAGTATAATGACATTACTGAGCTGATGTTACACTACCAGGGGGGATCGTCATGAGTGTCTGTTAGGTAATAGGCAATATTGTATAAGGATCAGATTTTTCAAAGCACCTAGGTTATATAGTCAAAAAAGTCCAATTTATTTAACTGACGTTCTTTAAAAATCCTACCCTAAATCATCTTCAAACACCATAGCTTTCTTACTTTTTTAATAGTGATTGTGATGGGCTTCATAGAATCATAGAAGTAGGGTCAGAAGGGACCTTGTAGATCTTCAAGTCCAACCACCCCGCCTGGGCAGGAGAAAAGACTGGACTCAAATGAGTCCAGCCAGGTAGTCATCAAGCCTCTTCTTAAAGATCCCCAGGGTAGGAGCCAGCACCACTTCCCTAGGAAGTTGGTTCCAGCTCCTAGCCGCCCTAACTGTGAAGTAGTTCTTGCGGATGTCTAATCTAAACCTACTCTCTAATAATTTGTGTCCATTGTTCCTTGTCATGCCAGGGGG